ATACTTTTGATAACTTCGGGAATGGGAAACAAGCTAGAAACAAGCTATTGCCAGAGCCAAAGTTGAAGCTAATATTTGTTTAGCTAAGAATCTTTTATTTTGTACTATTTGATGATATCTAAGAATGGAGCATTGATTGAATTGTACGAAGTCATTCCAAGAGAAAGTTTTCTTCAGGTTGATTTTATTTCCCTCTTACTTCCATATTTCCCTTTTTTTTTTTTTTTTTTTTTTTGGTAGAAATATTTGCAATACAATGAGTTCTTTGAAGGAGGAAGTCATTGAATGATATCAAAGACTTTTCATATTCCCTATTGAATGAAACATCAAATTCGACAAAGTAAAGTGAAACTTAAGTGAATGAACGATGAAGTTTAGTGTGACTCAATTTATGAGTTGAATTTAGAGTCGATTTCTCAACTTAATGTGTAACAGATTAAACATCCGGAAAAATAGCTGGACATAGCGGAACAGCTACGGAAGTATACGGACGGAATAATTGTAAGCTTCTGCACTGTAAGCTCTTTTACATTACTGATTTGAAAAATATTTTTGAAGCTAGCATTTGTACTACTCTGCTTTTACTTCGACTGAAATGCTTATGTTCGATCAGTTTACCTACCTGAGGGATTAACTTTAATGATGTTCGATTAAACGTTATGTTCACATTCAATGTGCGGAATTGACGTAGGAGTATAAATCAAGTTTGCAGTTCATCCTATCTTTTGAAACTATTAATTCTTTAGTAGACAGAAAAGATGAACCTGTTTTTGGAAATCGCTAAAAATATCACCAGTGAAAGGATTCAGAATTGAAAAGATTTATTGCTCTACTGAGATGACTAATGTATGTGAGCGCTATTGTCATAGAAGGATATTTTCTTAATGCTTTAGTTGTTTTTGCGTCCTTTTTATGACTTGTCATGTCAGCACATATAATAAAGTGTGGAGCTGCACCCTTTCGAAGTACATTGACGATTACAATACTTATGACAGTCAGAAGATATTGTGCAGTTTTAGACCAGGTACCTGTGACAGTCAGGCGATATTGTGCAGTTTTGGACCAGGTACCTGTGACAGTCAGGGGATATTGTGCAGTTTTAGACCAGGTACCTGTGGCAGTCAGGAGATATTGTCACAGTATTATTGTAACCCAAAATCTTTTCTTGAATGGAAATCTTTTCTGTTTTTTTTTTAACTTATGCAAATTTATTTTTCAGATTTTATTTTTTTCTTTGAAAAGTGACAAACCTTCGGGCTATTTTACCCGTCAAATTGGAACAAATTATAGCTTATTAAAATCTTAAAATTTGTAATATGTGAGTTAATTCATAATGTGTTGGAGGTAATTGAAAGATACCATGAAAACAGTAAGAAATATGGAAAGACTTCAAAAGAATCGAAGAAAATTAGTGAGCAATGGGGGAAAAAAAAGGGTAATTATACCTTTACTTTCATTCTTCTCATTTCTTTCTGTCTTTCCTCCTCCTCCTTTTTTTTTCCTATAAGATAATTAAGCAGAAGATGGTGACAGATCTGTGACATCTCACTACTACTAATCGGTGACATCTCGCTATTCGATAATTTCATTGCACAAAAAAATAAAATTATTTTGTCACTATTTTGACGCGAAAAAAAAAAGAAAAAAACATGGTGAATATAATGTTGGCGTTTACCTATCCTTTAGTTGGTAGTATAATTTTCTTAACTCTTCTTTTAATGCTG